GATACATCAATTAGAGGTAGTATGGCGGAAATGTGTACAGGATATTGGACCACCTAGAAAGAAGCGCCGCTCATCGATATGCATGATCGTCGTTTATATTGTGAAATATTTGACAATGTATCAAATCAAGAGTCAAAAATAGATTCAACCGTGTAATTCTATAACATTCCTACAACTATTAGATGAAAACAATTCTTCAATTCAAACAATAATTCGTTTCCAGAAGAAGCATTTTCTTTTTCAAAACAAAATCACAGACAGCATTTTGCTTTAGCCAGGCTCAGAAGTGAACTTTGCGTGGTAAATTCAACAAATGAACATTTACCAAGAGACGGAGAGAGAGAGAAAGATGGAGTGAGAGAGACGGAGAGAGAGAGAGACGGGGAGAGAGAGAGACGGAGAGAGACATGGAGAGAGAGATGGAAAGAGATGGAGAGAGAAGTAGACGGAGAGAGAGCGCGAGCAGAGAGAGCCGGAGAGAGAGAGGCTGTAATTGATTGAGTTTGCCGAGAGTGTTAAAAAGACTGATGGGTCTGTACGACTGCGGCAAATTCTTATTCTTTCCTGGTTTGGAAAAGTTGAGCACGTGTGCATGTTTCCATTGCGCGGGAAATAGCTGGAAAAAAAGGAAGAGAGAAGCGATGTTTAGGATGAAGGTATGTTTCGCCAAGCATCAATATTGAGATTTTGTGCTTTGCGGCGAATGCGGCTAGCTCCGCTTGCTTGTTCCTGCATACGACACTGTTGCAATTCCAAAAGACGAGCGTGAAGCGAGCTGGAGCTGCCGGCCGTTCCCCCGACCGTCGAGCGAGGGGCAACCCGCGTGCTCCCTCGCGTGATGGAGCAGCAGTCCCATGACTGCTTGCAGCATCAGCCTCGGCCATTCGCTCGGGGGGTGACCGGTGATGTGCGGGTAATTGTCCGGATTGTCTCGAAGAGATCAACGCCGTTTAAACCGAGATCCTCCGCGGCCTGGTTCATGAACAGGATCTGGTCATCGGTGTTATGGGATGGAAGGAAATTCATCCCCCGCGGCTCCCGGACGGTTGTCCCGATGCACGTCGAGGGTTTAGGGAAGGGCGGGAGGGGCTGCGGCTGGAGCCGGTGCTGGGGCGGCGACGTCGTCATCAGCCACAGCTTCTCCGGTTGCATCGGCAGCGACCGGGTCGCCGCACACGCCCCGCAACGCCTCCAATAGGGAGAACACGTCTCCGCTCTCGTACACGAGAATGGGGGGAGGGCGTCGTTGGCGGTGAACGAGGGTGAACCCGTCATTGTCCCCTTGCTCTGCGTCAAAGTCTTCCATCTGCGCCGGCGTTGGCATCCTTGCGGCGGTGGCAACAACCGACGGCGATGTAGCCACAGTATGTTGTGGAGCGGAGGTTCGTCATAGTACGCTCCCGTCATTGTCCCTGCGGGCAGAAGTAGTGTGCAGGTTCGAGCAAATACGCTCCGTCGAGGAGGTAGCCACGCGCATCCACTTGGGCGTCCCCGCATGCCGACGCGCCGCACGCCCACGGCTGCCGCTTTTGCCCTCCGGAGAAGTTTGAGAGCGGCCGCCGCCCGGCGACGCTGTGCTCGATATCGTTGCTATATTTTACGGCTCGACGGCCGCCGCAGCACTTTTGCTGTTAGTCCCTAAAAGGACTATTTTTCCACGGCGGCCGGAGCTCTTCACAGGTGCGTCCGTCCTCCGCGGTGGTCAGGTCTCGACCAATCGAGGCTGAGCGGTCAGCTGCCCCGCTATTTAAAGGGCTGGCGTGACGTCACAGCGAACCTTTCCGCGTTTTCCAGTTGGAAGTTTGCCGTCGTCGCGCCGCGGGCCGCAAATAAGCTTTTTGGACGGGTAAAGCAAAATGCACTTTACGTCATGCACGTACTGCATTTAGTACTATACATTCGAACAGTTTGAAGATAAAATTTGGAGCCATTATTGAGAAAATAGCGTGTGAGCATATCTGAAAATCCGGAATTTTGAGCTAGTTTTCACAGAAAACTGTTGAGTTTTCGAAAAACTTTATGTGTCATTATTTAAAGCACATGTACTCATAAATACAATCACGTGAACAAATTGCCGATAGTATAAGTATTAACAACGTAAGACTAAAGTCAAAAAAATATTTTTTTTTGTAATTTTTGAAAACAAACCAACAAAAGAATAGAACAATATGGCGTTTATGTCATCTTATAGAGTACATTTAGCACTATCCCTACCAAAAGTTTAAAGAAAAAATTTGGAGCCGTTTTTGAGAAAATATTGTTGTAATATTTGTCAATTGCACATATTGCTCGTAATATTGCCCGAAAACTACTGAAATTTTCAAAAATGTGTACACGACCTTAATAAAAGAACTACTATGGAGAACAAATTGTCAAATTCAAATAAAGGAAAAATCTCTAACTTTAATTTTGTAGTGGGAAAAAGCCTGAAAATTTTCAAAAATTTAGAGTTAAAGATGAGAATCGGACGTATGTCACCATTACGTCACCATTATGTCACCAAGTGTATTTTACTCTTATTACTACTTTACTACTTATTCTTACAAGAAATTTAAAGAAAAAATTTGAAGTCATTTTTGAGGAAATTTTGGAAATGTCTGGAGGGCTTCATGTAAAGTACCCCCAAATTTTCAAGAAAGATTTTCTGAATCTCAAAGCTTCAAATCAAGCCAGATGGACAGGGGTTTCTTCAATATTGAAAAAATCCTACGTATGGTTTACCGCTAGAGGTGTTCACAGACGGACGTTAAAAAAACAAAACTTTATCAGGGTTTCAGTATCAAACGTGTACTTCCGTTGAGATCTCAAAATCAATTTTCCGCAGCATTACATAACTTTCCCTATTCTATGTATAATACCCCATATATACATATGTATACAGGAAAGTAAACGTTATACGAATGTAATACTTTAAATATCTCTCACATCATTAACATTTACACGACATGATTAATTATAATTTATTGCATTAGTGAGTAGAAGTGCTTCAAATAATGTCTGATGAAGTTAGCTGAAAACTCAAAACTTTTCCGTGAAAATTGGCTCAAAATTGTGAATCTTCAGAGAAACACAAGCAACTTTTCTCACTAACAGCACCAAATTCTTAAATGACAAAGAGTGCAAGGTTTAACTCTTTTATCCGTTTAACTCTTTTATTCTGGGGCGTAATAATACATACATTACGTTATTTGGGGGCGTAAAAATTGAGAAAATGTTAAATGTGATTTTTATAAAATGCCATTTCCTCAATATTAATATTACTTGAAAGTTAACTAAGGATTAGTTCAGTACACATTTGATATTGTTCACAAAACATTTATTATTGCTAAAAATAAAAATTCCGGAAGGTGGTACCATTTTCTCAGTTAACCCTACGCCTAAAAAATTTCGTTTAACTCCCCGAATTTTAAAAAATTGCAAACGTCTACATTTTACCAGTGACTTTAACTATAATATTTATGCTAGTTTTTTCCTGTAATGAAAGCTGTTCTACAAAATTAGATCTTTAAATAAGATCATGTATGATTTTTTACAAAAATAAGAAAGATTTTTGAAAATATGTGTAGTTTTCATGGAATTTTGCACAAAATAATCTCGATTTTTAAAAGATTTCCTCATTGGCGGCTCCAAAATTTTTCATTATTTTTCGAAAAGAGCAAAGTACACCTCTAAAAATGGCACACATTGCATTTGTGTTTAACTTTCTACATTTTCAAAACTTGTAAAATTAGTTGCAGTTTAAACTTCTTAGGCGTGTGCCAAAACCTAACACATTGAAGGGAGATTTTTTTAATGTAATCTGTTCTTCAAATAAAATTTGTATATCATGTAATGTAAAATATTTTGAAAATGTTTTCACCTGATCTTGAGACACCATTACAAATAATGCGAGAATGTATGTGCTGTTGTAGCACTAATTTATTATTAAAATTAATGAAAATTCTGTAATAAATTATTTTCTTCGTTATAAGAGAGCTTGTGTTGCTTCTCGTAAGCAAAACACACAAACTACCAGCAAACAGAGCACAGAGCATGCTCTGCGGATACTGCCGAGAATATGTGATAAACCAACAAACGTACAATACGATAAGTGATTTCTTTACTAAAAGAAATTTGTTCTAAAAAAATAGGTCCTCAAATATGGTCATGTTCATTTTTTATAAGTATTTTCAAGAAACATTTGCTTGAAATAAAGGCAAGTTGTAAAAAATGGCTCCAATTTTTTTTTTTACATTAACTCGCAAAATAGCATAGGTGACATTTTTGTTGAACTCTATTTTCGAAAACTGCACAAAAAATTAACTTTACAAACACACAAAATTGATGATAGAGGATTTTTACTTAATGAAGTATATTCTTCAAAATTAGATCTCTGAATAAGGTCACATACGATTGTTTGAAAATATATATGGTTTAATGTATTTTTTGTTAATCTTTGAAATTGCAAATTGGAATTTGGCGCACTTCTTTTGCTGAAGAGAGTCTCTTAAGGTGTATCAGGACACGATCCAACAGCAATGCCAAGATAAGGCGATTTAAATTTCTACGAATAACTTCTCATTGTTGAGCAAATAATGTTTCTCCCTGTACGGCATGAAGTTTTGGATTGTAGAATTTCTGAACAATTGGCTTTAAAAGAATTAGTTTCCATAGTTCATGTGCAATGTTTTGTAATGATTTTTACAAGTGATGGTTAAAATAAGCTCATACGTGCAAAAATTGCGATTTCATAAGATTTCATGCATAATTGTGTTTTTCAGTGTATTTTCTTGGTTTTACTGTCCAGCTTAGTTTCATCTGAAGTTTGGCACTTCTGTCTCCAGTGAACAAATTAACTAATGCAAGAGTAAGATAATGTTCAATCAATGCATAATATACTAACTTTTAGTTATGTCTGATTCATTCTGTTCTTATTCAGTTTTTTACAGTTCAAGAACATCTTCTCTTTCAGATACCTGAAAAACCTTATATAAAAGAGAGAATGGTAAATAATACAGATAATTTCAGTGTCAAAAATTTTATTTAGCTCGGTATCCAAACAGTATAAAATCATAAATGCAAACAACAATATTTGCTGGAAAATGACAAGTTAAGAGCACACGTTCAATTTGTTGTCTTGCCAAGTAAATGTTACCATAATAGTAGATGCATCATTTTTATAGAAATCTTGAAGTTTTACTGTTAAGTTTAAACCAACACAAATATCAATAAAACCAACTTCATTATTTCATTCAATTGCAAAGCAGACCAATTTCACTATATATCAACACATGAATACAATTTTGTAGAGTATTTCCAATATTGCAACACACGGGCAGTTCCTGTTGTGTATCGTAAGAGTACACTTAATTTACGGAGTAATACGTTTTGGGTCACGAGGGAACATGGAAGTCTTTCGAATATTATCTAATCCTAAGAAAAGCATCACAACTCGTTCAAGGCCAATACCACCACCAGCATGAGGAGGACAGCCATACCGGAACGCGTCAATGTATGCACGAATCTTCTCAAGATCTGCAACAACATCACTTTGAATAGAATTTTATTCAAATAATATTTATAACCGTTTTTAACACCTTCCAGTGAAAAGTTGCACTTTGGAGTACAGCTATAGTTATGTAGCATTTTGAGACACACTTGCAACAAATAGTGAAATAACTGAAGCCACCAACAGTTTTTCTGTATGTGACGAAAGTTGGAAGATGGGCATACTACCTCCCAACTTTCACTATACATAACAAGACTGATGATGATGGCAAAGCTGTCGAAAGCCCGTTCTCTGAATAAATCTAATAAGTTGACAAAGATGACTTCAGCTATTTCTCCATTAAATTACATCAATAACACATAATTACATCATTAGCATTCCCACAACCCACAGATCACCACAAAGTAAATAAAACAGAAGATACTGCATACTGAAAAAAACACATGTGATTACATTGCTGCTGTTTTGTATATTGGGAATGATCCCAAGAGTATATAATTTAAGTTTTCATGAATTTATACTAAAAAATAATGTACACAATATGTATGAAAGTGTCTTTGGCAAACTCATTTCAAAATTTCAGACTCATCTCCTGTAGTCTCCACATTTCATTTGTAGGCCAAAGACTCATTTTCCATACCAAATAACTATTTCTAAAATGCACACTTGTACACAAGTTTGGCCCACAAATAAATTACTAATTTACTGTCAAAAAGAGATAGGTCTTAAAAGAACTGATAGTGATTTAGTAGTTGGTACAAGTTTAGAATAAGGTTCAGGAATTAGAAGAGTTTTCTACAGCTCACAACATAAAATTACGTATTTGTGGGTAGCTACATTACTAGTAGTTTCTTGGGCACAAAATACAGCAAAAACCTGATGTAAGAGACCCTGTTATAAGGTAATGTCGCTTATAGGAGACAAATTTACAGTTCCCAGGTCAGTTGTATATAAACAATGCATTTATTTCTCACATTTAAGAGTCCCCACTATACAAGATTCCCGCTTATTGTGGACAAGATTGTATATCCCGCCATGTATTTCTTCTTGCTTGTAAGAGGCAAAGAATTGAATTTTCCCGCAGGTGACATGAATTTCATCAATGTGATAAGGCTTGGGGAACACGCTTAAAATAGACTGGAGCAAGGTTTCACACACCAGTTCCACTGGACGGGATAGTGTCTCTTGGTAACAAGGAAGTCTCTACAGTGCCGAAGTGTTTCCAATTGTTTTTAGCGTTTTGGAGGTGTTTTTGCCAGAGTACATAGAATTTTATTTTACTTCGGTGCTTTCAATCCCTTTCACCGCAACATGGACAATCTTGCGTGGACATACGTTAGTACTGCATGTATGGATTTAAATGCTTAGTATATAATTTTGTTTTTGCCTTCTATGGATCTGCAAGTGATGGCATCAAGACAAAAGGTTTTGTCTTAGCCCAGAAGCTGGACATGAACAAGCTGAAAAGTCTAAAGGGCAATCGCAGAGAGCTGTGGCAGAAACACTGAAGATACCAGTTGGTCACTTAGACAAATTTTCCAGAAGAAAAAGGAAATCAATGCGGTTGGAAAAATGGGTAAGTGAAGAAAATTTGTTTGTCACCATTCAAGAAAACTGAAAAGATTATTTTGGAGTGGTTTCAACAGTGCAGAGACGAAGGTGTTTCTGTTGATGGGAACATTTTGTGGGAGAAGGTGGGAGTTATATGTAGGAAAATAACAACACGTATACACTAAGAATAACAACAGGAATTATCGCTTCTACCTTATGGATTTTTCTATAAATTAAAACTCCAAAGATATAGCTAAATAGGCTCTGATTTCAAGTAAATTATGTTTTCTTCATACTGATCCCTTAAAAGTATGGGTCACTGATGGCAAACTGATCCCACATACAAGAGTTCCTGCTTATAAGAGACAAAATCCCATTCTCCCAGGTGTCTCTTATAAAGGGCGTTTTACTGTTTGAGAACATTACAGAACACAAATAGCACATTATTTCTGCATGGAAGTTAAAATTCTTTAACTCTTGAAACATACTTTTAAATTTTATTGTCATTAACACAGGGTTACTTAAGTTTTGAGTTATTACATATAATGTAAGCTAGATTTGCACAAAATATTAAAAAACATACTTATAGATTATTTGGAAAACCATTGTGAAGTCTTAAAACAAATTACCGTATTAGCTCTGAATACAAGGCGAGCTTTCTTCCTACATATCCCATTTGGAAAATGTGTGGTCATCTTATTCGTAGATTAAGCCTGGTTTTTTAGAATTTATATTTTTATTCAGCAAGTAAAGCATGGCAAGCAGAAGCTTGTATGCTGTCAAAACAATAAGCTGCGAAGATAATAAATATCACAAGTATCTGTAATATTTAATTATATTTGCAGGCATATTGCTGGCATCCACAATAAATTTGCAAGCTGCTTCAGACCGATAGTTTAGAACGAAGTGGTAAAGAAAGAATCTCAAATGAATGACATTGTAGAATGTCACTGCAATATCGAGAGCAAATGTACATTTTGCAAGAGCCAGAAATGAAAAATTTTATATTAATAAACATATGCACTCTACATACAACCACAGTCAGAATGACAATAAATATTCTTTAAGCAAAAACTTCTCGAACTTGGAAGATTGCTGCTTTCTACTGCATTACTTGCAAAACAGAGGAACAACACATTATGGGAGGGGGACCAAAGAGAACAAACAATAATACACATGTAGTGACAAAAACCATGAAGAAGAAGGTAGTGACAAAAACCATGAATAAGATGATTTTTAAGGAAAAAGAAAACTGATAATTCAGGCCATACTGTTTTATCATTCTCATCAAGACAATTTTATCGTCAATTATACAATTTGCAGTTTTACTTTGACTAAATGGAAAAAATTAGTTCAAAAAAAAAAGAAAATAAGGAAGTCTCTTCAAAATTAAGGGGTCATCTTATTCGTGTATTCAGAGATAACTTATATTCAGGTAAATACAGTAAATCACTTTTAAAACAAAATTCATAACATCCTTTATCGACAGATTAATCTTTACAAATGCAAACATGGCATTCCGCACTAAAGAATCATTACTTACCCACACCATGTAATTTGGCACGTTCAGTTAGGAAGTCAGGATCGTGGATTCGCTGAGCTCCACTCATAATTTCCTCTCCTCTCATGAAAATGTCATAAGAATTGGATCGTTTCTGGGGAAAAAGAAAGAAACAAAAAAACATTACAAACAGAAAAAATACACACTGGCTATTTTCCACAAATCTCATTACCTCGTATAAACCCACAACATATATTATTTCTTTATTCCATTCATTACAGGAAAATGCCCAATACAATATCAAAAATTCATACTAAACTTTTAAAGTAAAAGTAAAAAATTATAACCAATGCAATAGCTATCAGTAAAAAATTATCACAATATGAAAAGTTATATAATTACAAGAGATCCTCAATAATAATCACAGAGAATAATCGATCTCTCACATGTCCCACAAGCTGATGCATAGAGAACTCTAGATTTAAAACATTTACCAAATGCCACATTCCCCAAAGAGGGCAATAATATAAGCTTTAGCAGTAACAACATTAGAATTAAAGTATTTTTAAATTAGATTTTAATATTATTCTACAACAAAAGCAAATACTTCCAGATCATGACCTTCAGGGTCATGATATGTTACTTTTCTCTCATTGTGCTAGAAGTATTTTTTGGCAAAAATCCATTATACAATCGCTTATACTCATAGTACAGCATTTGAATGGGCACATTCATGTTCAGAAAACAATTACCAAAGCAATTTTCACAAACTTCTGTTATTTAAATAAACCAGTCACATATTAGGTGCAAATTAAATGGTTAACATGGAAATGTTAAATAACGCAAATGAAAAATAAGATTACATATTTCAATCTTTTAAAATTGTCTCTAATAAAGACTCAAACAACAACTGCTAACATTACAGATATAATAATTCTTCTGGCCTTGATACTCAGAGCAAGTTTAATGTACCAATTACCATCTCTCTTAAAACATCTAAAAACATACTTTAAAATCTCATCAACAGAGAGTTGAAAGATGTTCGTAGTAAGCACACAGGTACTTACCGAATCATTGGGATCTGGCATTGTGTAGAAAGGTCTCACTGCAAGAGGAAACTTATCTAAAATGTAGAAGTCTGTGTCATACTGAAAACAAGACAATTAAAAATGCTTAGTACACTCCATCAATTCAATAAAACTACATACATTTGATGTATTTTAAATAAATAATCCTCTAAATTATTGATGTAATATAATTACCCTATACAATTTCACAATTTTATATTTGATAGTAGCCCTTATTACACATTTACCCAAATATAATTTCAACTTATATTCTCAATATTTCATTCAAAAATTACAAGGTCAACTTATTTGCAGATTAAGCCAAGTCAGTTAGGTTTTAAGAGTTACACTGTCTTACCATGCCATGAAACTAGAAAACGTTGATGCAACAAGAAACTGCAAAGATGATAAAAATATGCACATATATAAACACTAATTAAATTTGTGGATGTTTCCTAGGCACCATTAATCTGCTGGGAGATTCAGACAGATATTTTTTTAATGGCCCAGTAAAGAGAATCTCAAATGAATGAAACCATATCAAGTGAAATGCAACTTAAAATTGAATAAAATACGTACCAAGATTTTATAACTCACTGATTGATGAGATTGAATCAAAGAATTGGAAGTTAAAAATATATATGGTTAAAAGTACGATTCTATATCCAACCACAGAAAAGGATAACAAAAATATTTTCTTAGCAAAAACTTTAACAACTTGGAAAATTAACGCAATCTCCCACGTTACCCATGAAATGGAGGAACAGAAATCTATGCATTAGCAGTGAATCACTGAATCACAAGAATTAAGAAATGCGAATTACAAATATATTCTTAGCAATTGTGAAAGTACTCTTAAATAATAATAGTATATGAACAAGAGCAGGTCAGGAAGAAAACCTGATAACATTGATGGAAATCTTCGGTGGCATCAGCCGAAAGATTAAGAATTCAAATGCAATGAGCAAAACTTTCAGAGGAAATAAGAAAAGTGATAGCTCAGACAATTTCACGTTTTTGTCCTGTGAAAGAGTCTTCCAGAACAGAAGTAAATGACTTATGACAAATGCGATAAAAATAATGGATATATATATATATATATATATATATATATATATATATATATATAATATTTTAATTTTGGACCCATTACTGAATAAGCCAGAGTTATATGAGGACCTATTTTAAGAAAGATGTGGAGCATATTGAAAAAATTCAAAGAAAAAACATGAATAGAGTTAGGAATGATATTGTTGAAACATTTTGGGTTGTACAACTTCCAAAACTTGATCACAGATCTGTCAGATCCAGTGACAGACTCCAAGGACATGATCATTGCAAGAACACAAGGACCAGAGGCTCTTCCTCATCAACAGGGTTGTTTTGTGAACTGTCTCCTAAATGAATGTATTTCAGCCAAGACAGTTGACTGCTTCAAAGGGAGGCTGCACTGCATTAACTCCCAATGAAGAGGGAACCATTATTCAATTGGATTAAGCATATAACCAATAGTGATAGGGTTGTTACATAAAATTGAATGTATTTCTGTATGACATGATTTGCTTGGTTTTAATTGATATGTGTATACCAGCTTCGATTGCTGTCAACAATAAATAAATAATTAAAACGTATTATTTTACAGCTAAATGAATAAATTAAATTTTGAATTTGCAGTTTTGGATAAATTACTGAACCTCTGTAGTAAAATTAATCATCAAGGAGAAACTAGTTTATTTTCTCATTTTTTAATGTAGATAATCTAATGTAGATTATCTACAACCAAAAACGTGTGTAAGCCACAATGTCTAAACCAAAAATGTTAGTCCTTACAGGTTCACTCTAATTGGAGACTATTGTACTATGTTTAGTTTAGCAACATGTGTAATGTAACATGAACAAAACTTGTATTACTGTATTTGTTGCAATCGAGAATAAAAAAATACAATGAAAAGTAATGTAATAACATGTGTTCTTAACAAATGAATAATGAACAAATATTCAATTACTTGCATTTCTTTCCTCATTATACATTTTTATAGTGTGTTTATTGTGGTACCAAGTATTAGAGTTGTTTCAATGGTGCAAATGAGAAATATCTTCCATAGACATATTGTAATATTATGAAAGGTGATAAGATATTGTTTTATAATTATCAAAAGGGGCAAGATTCAATACTAGAGACCAATAGACAAAACAATTCCAATATACCTTCTTTTTCACGAGTCTACCAAGTAATTTCTCATCTGGAGTTGAAAGATCATCTTCATCTCCTATTTCCACTCCTGCTTCCCGCAGCATAGCCACTGCTGCAGGAAATTCTAATATCAATGGTGGGTCCAAAAATTCAAATGTGTCCACAGGATACTGCTGCCCAACAGTTGTTATATCACCAGCATGTCTACAAAATAGTTGAAAAGATATAAATATGTATACGATGTCTCTACAGAATTTGCCTTTAAACAAATTAATTGAGGAAACACAATTTTAATGAAAGAACAGGGTATTCTAGCGCAGATCTAGGTATGAACAGTAAGCTGTCTATCCAAGAAACACAGGTGCCCCAACTTTACTTGTACTGTCTTGCTTTATTTTAGTGAAGACTGAGCTTTTTTGCTTCCTTATTGTGGTTTTGGGGCAGAAATTTTATTGGTAGGGGTCTTATCCCTAATCAAAATGAAGTCACTCTAACATCGTGAGGTCAGTGAACAAATGCAAAGAACAAGTGGCAGGAATGAGGACATTTCATAATTCAAACAAGAATCGTGCATTTTCATTTATTGAAATAATATTATGGCATAAAATGTGTATATTAAGGATATTTTATGTTAATCGCATACGCTGATGGCTACAGCCACCTTATGATCTTTGGAATCAAATGAGTTGGTAATTATGCATTGGACAGACTCAAGGATGAGTAATGTGAATTGCATAGGACAAAAGCCTGAGCCTCAACATGAAACTGGACATGCATAGCAAAGCAACAATTTGCCTTGAAAGTTAGAGTTTACCATCCATTTCGCTCATGGACGCATATTTGTCATTTACCATGTCCTCACATAATTGAGCTGAATTCTTGACATTCATTACAAAGGAAGAATATGTAAATAAGAAGTGTATATCAATGTCCTATATTTGGTACTTTAAGTGCATCAAGGTTGCCTCCGTAAGTGAAAGTAGAGCTTGAGTCAATGCGAGTGAACAAATTAACATTGAACTCCACTCAAAATCAGATCTGTGATAGAATCCCCAAATAACAATTTTGACAGATCAAATTTGTAGATTTGTAACCGTTTTATACATATTTTGGAATAAACTATTTTCTTGCACAGAAACAATAGAACAATTCTACATGCACAATAAATTAAGAAGTTATTGCATGCTACTAAAGATCATGTGCATGCTTCAGTGAAAGCATTTTAAATATACTGACTCTTTTTGTAGTCTCCGGAATAACTGAGTGAAGAGGTCACCAATAGTATTCAGAACTTCATGATAATGATACTTGAAGGCCATTTCTAAATCAAGTCCTACAAACTCTGTTAAATGTCGATGTGTGTTACTGTCCTCTGCTCGGAACACTGAAACATTCACATACTTAAATAGTACCCAATTGCATTTGAAGGAACTTAACAAAAGCAACCAGTGGGTGCTATAACACAAAGTACAAAAAGGTTCACACAACTACTACGCTCAATACAGAACTCATTGATCACATTTTTATATGCTACTTCAGTACTAATGGCTAGTTTTAATATATAATCGCAGATATTTTTACTTTCACTTTTAACTTAAGATAAACCTGGACTGAGACATTCTGTAGTGTTACAGAACACGGGCAACATATGAATAAGTAATAATTACTTACCAGCCCCAATTGTAAACACACGATCAAAATCAGCAGCAATGGCCATCTGTTTGTATAATTGAGGACTTTGTGCCAAATATGCTGAGCCTTTGAAATACGATACCGTGAACACATTGGCACCGCCTTCACTAGCAGCTGATATAATCTTAGGGGTGTGAATTTCAACAAAACCCTAGGAAACAAAAAAAACAGATGTGTTGATTACAAAGCATAAGGAGATTGAAATCTTGCTATGAATAATGCAACATGAAAATCATCATATACAATGTAATTACAAGAGTAATACTTTAAACTATTTAAAATCACATTATTATTTTATTTTGAAAATTACATCACACTTCAGCAGGTCAAGAACATCTAACAGCATGTCAAAACATTTTTTAAATATTGCAATACATTCTGAAATAATAATTATAATACACATTGAAATTTCACAAAAACATTGATATATTACAGCAAAACTTAAGTCATTATTACACACTTACTACGACCTCAATCTCCACATCTGGAGCCTCCCAAATCTCCTTACATTAATGAAAATTTCATGCAAATAAAGAATATTGAACATACATTGTACACTTAAATTCAAAGAATCTACTCAATGCATACTTTGCTTTGAAGGATCTCCCGAAATAGACGACACACACCCGCTTCTAGGCGGAAGATTGCCTGGTTAGCAGGTGTTCTCAAATCCAGCACTCTATTGTCTAATCTCGTGTCTTGATTCACTCTAATATGTAAACCATCACCTTCCTGCAACATGAAGAATCTTAAGTTTAGTATTTCATCACTTATTAAGCTCTTGTTCCAAAAGAAACTATTCCAACAGACTTCATAAAAGATTATTTATTAGTATCACCACTTAATTGCCAGGTTCAATTTACATTAAAACACAGTTACTTACCATTCACTGGAATTAACTAGCGTGCTATTACAGACATACTTAGACATATACATAGGTGTAGAGCAACACTAAAGATTATGACATTGTCCATATTCTCTATTCCACAATTTCAGATATTTATCAGTAAAAACTGTAAATGTAAGCTATTGTATTACTAAATAAAATACTATTTCATTAACATTAGCAGAAAACTCATTAGGAACAACACTGATCATTTTGAGTTTAAATTTGCATTTGATTCTCATTATTATTGAGGAATAACAAAACCAGTAAGTTTGTTCATACACATATTTCCATACCTCTTCATCTCGGCGGGCAGCATCTTCAATTTGCAAAGGCAATTGTGGTTTGGCAGCACTCACTACAAAAAGGCTTGATACATGGAGTTCAACGTTTTGCTGAGAACAACCAACAACAGGTTTGGGAACTTGAACTACTTTCGCTTCAACGTCTACAATGCATTCTTTGCTGACACTGTAAGAAAAATGTTTATTTCACAAACAGAATTTTTAGAAAGAATTCAGGTTTTCTTTACACTGATTATTTGCAGCATAATTATGACATCATGTAAACAGTCACATATCAATGCCATTCCAGAATCGTCAGAAACCACTGGTCAACCAAAGATCAATGCCAGACCTCAGAAAAATTTTTAATATAATTGAATGAAAGTTGTATATATTTAAAAACTAATAACACTTAGCTATAGAATAAAATCATCTTCTGCAAGTCTGTGTTAAAATACTATCAGTTTTTTGAGGTATGACAAGGTCATACACATCTGGAACATATTTTGTACTTGCAGTCCTTTCTTCTCTGGGTCAGAAAATGCTACATCCTCTTTTTGAAGAACTATTTCAACAAGCACTACATTACTAATTGCACAGCTGTTATCTACACTGATAGTCACTCAAACACAATTTTAAGATGCTTATGTTATGGGCAAGTCTGGCTGTAAGAAAATTTCCACAAAGCAATTACGCACAGTGAAGGTTTCTAATTTTATTATTAACAAGCATTGAAAGACAAAAGTTTCACTAAAGAGTTCAGAAATGTTTTAAAAGTTCTGAAACATGAAGCAAGCTCCTTACTTAAACAAAGATAGAATAAAATTTCATTGAGGGTCTGTCGATGACTTATACCATTGGTATGCGACTGCTAAAACAATTAAAACTTAACTGTTAACTTGGACTGACTTACTTGGAAACAAATTTGACCATTGCTTTACTAGTTGTTTCTCCAACAGCAATGATTGCTTGCACAGTAGCAGCCTGCTGTCGTAGAACAGCAAAGCACTGTTTCCCTGAAACAATGTATACAAAGATAAAACACAGAAATTACTTACTAAATGTTAACTAATGTTAATGTTAACTACTACTAATGATAATGTTAACTACTAAACTATTATTAAAATTACACTAAATGTAAAATAGTGACATCATATAATATTAACTTCTGTAGCTTGTAGCATTAATGATTATTGAAGATTGGTATGGTAATTCAAATGATGGTTGGTAATTCAAAAAACTTAGTCCACCTTTCTGATATTGATACTTAATTCATTAGAAAAGCCATAATAATTGGCATTATCCTCTTCTCTCAAATAAGGCTGTAAATGTCAGTCTCTCGTAAAAAGCTAAAAAGTTTGCAGAGAGAAGATTCATTGTTTTCAAGTATCTCTGCTAAAAAACTAGCAATGTGATGCCTTCGGTGACTATTTCTTGCATTAGAACAGTGCAGGAGAGCATGCTCCACAGTAAGATCTATTTCACACCTATCACAAGTAGGGGAGAGGTCACTGCAGAGATGTCCTGGGCAGAAATGGCAGTGACCAATATGAAGGTGTGCCAGAATAATCTCCTTGTGCCCAGAGCCACGAGTTCAGGAAGACCAAGGCTTTATGGAATCCTTGATTCTCGTGAACTTCAAATTTGGGTTCTACCACTCTCTTTGCTATACACTGAGAAAAGAGCACTTAATAAACAACTAGGTATCATATGTTGGGTCTTTTCAGAAATTATAATGATTCACAAATAAATGATGAATTGGTGTTGCATGATCATTGCTAGAGGGTGACAAGAAGAAAACCAGGAGATGGATTTGAGAGAGCTTTTTGAATCACTGCAGATCACTAATTATTTAAAGGTCATCGATTCAGCAAACTCCAAGAGCGCATATTTCTCTGCAGTATAATAGCTGCATAAAGAGTCTATTCGAAGACTCCGTGTGACACTATGGTAGTAGAAGGCACATCCTACTTTACCATTTTGGGAGGAGCCTTCAGTGTATATGAAGTTACAGCCGGGATACATGTATTTCATCTCCTGAAATTCCACCAGAAATGGTACTGGGGGAGTAGAGGATTTGGGGAAGTTTGATAATCTTAGGTCTATTTTAGGCTGGAGCAGTTTTCAAGGGGGAACAAG